TTCTTTTTATGGTGATAAATTTGTCCATACCTAGTAACTCATGTGGAATATAGTTTGGTGGAAGGAAGTTTGTGACCAATTGTAAAAAAGGGCCTCACTTGTAATTCTCTACTACTAGGGGTTTAATTGTAATGCGTTGATGGACATTATTACAATTAGTGAAAGTTCAATATTTAAAAGATAATTAAATGAAAAATTGGATAAGTTGTATCCTGCAAATTCAAGATAAAAGATACATCTTTTATCCTATCTCCACGACGAAAAGATAGAGATCCCTAAGGATCCCACCAATATGCAAACTCTATTATGTGTTGTATATATATCAGACGTATTTGATACAAAAATTGGTCGTCATAATTTTTAAGGTCTGTAGAAAAATACACACAAACAATAAAAGTAAGAAGGTGCAAGGTGAATCACTTTGGAGGCGAGACACTTGGATCGCTTTGTGAGGTACTAACAACAACACACTTGGATTGAGGTATTTTAGATTGTGTAATCAGGTGGTGTATCTTTGAAAATTTATTTTTTCAAAAAAAAAATTTCAGCAAACTTTCAGTTGTTAGACCGGCATAGAGGACGTCTAGATTTGGTTAGGATCTTCATTCGAGCTCTCCTTTGCTAGTAGGAGTTTGAGGGGTGAACTCTAGTTCAGATTAATGAAGAAGTATCGACGCTTTGTTAGGGGAGAAACATGGGTGTCGAAGTCGATCCAGATCTATATAGGATTTCATTCGAGCGTTCCTCTTCGAGTGGGAGTTTGAGGGGTGAACTTCGTCCAGATGTATAGAGGTGTCTCAGCGGTTGTTCAGTGTTTGGATCCTCATCATAGGAGCTTTTGCAGTAGGTGTGTTTAGTGTTTGGATCATAAAATAAGATATGTTCCGACCATGGAAGTGGAGATGGTTGTGGCTTGTTCACCTATGGCAATGGGTTTTGATCATCTTTGGAGTGTCCGGTTGTGGCCAAGGTAGCTTCGGACATGGATGTTTATCAGTCATGGTAGATGCGGTCAGCGAAGAGGTAGGTGTGGGAGTCCTTGGGTGTGTTTTAGCCATAGTCCTTGGTCAAGGGAGTTTTCAAGCCACGATTCTTTCGGCCATGGGAGGTGTGATGGTGGTTCTCAGTTGGTTCAACGAAACTGGATGGTGGCAGTGTTCCTTACGCCTGTGTCATGATTTTTGATGCCACGGATTAGTGTACTTCAGGTGTGGGGGTCTTGCTTTTGGTTTGTGTAGGTTATTGAAAAGATAAGCATTGTAGCTTTTGGTGGAATAGAAGAGTGTGGGTTAGTGAAAAGAATAGTGTTCTGGGTTGAAAAGTAGAGTGTGGTTTGTTGAAAAAATGAGTGCAGCAGCATGGGTGTTGAAAATAAGATTTTGGTTTGTTGAAAAGAGGAGTACAGGAACAGCATGGGTGTTTTTGTTTTGGGTTGTGTGGGTCATGCATTTTATGTTTTAGTTAAGTCCTTAATTTTTTATTTTATTTTTTTGGTTTGTTTTTTATTTTGTTTAAAAAAAATCGTGAGGTCAAAGAGTTAGTTATATAGATGCGAGTAGCAGTAGTAGGGGTAATTTGTACTCTTCGAATCTCTCTCGATACATGTCATCTTCTTGTACCTTTAATTTCATACTGTTAATGAAATTTTTTTCTTTACTGATCAAAACAAATAAATAAATAAAAATACCTGCAAACAATTATCTATTAAATACTTAAATCAATTCTTCCTTATTTATTTTTTAATTATTAATCAATTATCTTGTTGACACATTACTAGGTCTAAAAAATAAATTTAGAAAGTGAATTTATATATCATTTTTTAATATTAAATTATTATTATTTTTATTAGATAATGATGTCCACTAACCCCATTAATCCCCCAAGGCCAACCTTCAAAAAGTTATTGATCAGTCCCAGAATATTATGCTGCACTTCTTACGTGGTTACGTAGGTCATTGCTTATCTCTTATATTAGCTAAGTAAGTGGGTCAACATTATTCCAATTTATTTGTCACATAAATAAATTAGCATATCACTCGTTCTATGCACGAATTATATTTACAATTATTTATATATGTGAATTGTAATTTTTAAATATTTTTTTTTTTAAATGTCTTCTTTTTTTTCCTTTTTTATATTATATTAAAGTTTACTATTTTGATAATAATCATATATGTTAGACTTTTTAAGGAATTAAATGTCTTTTTTTTTAATTATATTAAATTAAAGTTTAATATTTTAATAAGAATCATATGTGTTGAACTTTTCAAGAAATTTTTTTTATGTTTGTTCTTGATGCATTAAAGTGTTATTATGAGCGATAATAATCATATGTGTTGGGACTTTTCAAGGAATTCATATGTGGTGGATTTCAAAGAATTTTTTTTATACTTGTTCTTAATACATTAAAGTGTTATTATGAGAGTAAGATTTGGGGGTTGGAAGAAGTTAATAAATGCTAAGCTTTTTTTTTTTTAAATCAAAAAATCAGAAAATTTAGATTGGGAGATTGGATCTCCCACAAGACTTGGGATTAAAAACCCCCTTTTGCTTAATATATAGTATAGATTTATCGTCAATTATGACTAGATTTAAATTTATTATTACTTATTATTATTATTATTTTGCAGGAAAATCTTGGAGGTTAAAGAGAAGTTAAGACAAGTTTTGAAAATTTAAGTGATGGAAGACACATGGTATTGTAAGAAATAAGATGGAAAATTTAGAAAGTTAAAAGTAATTATTTAGGTGGTGGTTAATGGAAGTTTTTTTTCTTCATTTTTCTATAAATTGCCATTAATGACTCTATTGTAAGGGACTAACAAATCAATATATGACTTGATCTCCATTTCTTTTCTATCCTAAGAGTATATGTAATTTACATAGGAGTGGTTCAAACTTAAATCGGAGTAGTTTTAATGTATTTTATTTGTAATTTGGTTGTTCATTCAGTCATTTACATCATCATCTTCTTCTTCTCTCTTTCTCTTTTTCTTGTTTGTATTGTCATTATTTTTACTCCAAGGAAATCCTTAAACTTTCAAGGCATGAAACCTCAACACAATTGCTTAATCATTGTGTTGTTTGGTGAAATTTTAATTAAGTCTCTATTGATCTAAGCCTAACAAAAAGTTTGCTAACAATTTTTAGTACGCCTAGTGGGATATCATCTTAACTTGGAAGGAAAAAAAAAATAATACAAACAAAGTATCAAGAAATTATGCCATCAAGTGTCATGTTTACATCTTGTGCACCCATGGACACAAACCACCAATAGAGTGGCAATATTCCAATGGATATGAATTATTATTGGAATGTTTCATCTTCCATGTATAATAATTGTCAATATTATGGTAATGATTCTATCACCTATTGCCAACATAATTACATGACGAATGAAATGGAAAGAATGATTCGGCATTGTAAGGATGAAATTTATTGGTACAAAAGTGAAATTTTGGCCCTACAAAAAAAAATTAACTTTCTTAATTGGCAAAAATTTCAGACAATTTTATCACCACCATATTATTTGATGCAAAAATATATAAATTACTTTGATGGAAAAATTCATCAACTTAGTTGTCATGTTTATCAAGTTGATGGAGAAATTCAACATTGGAGTAAAAAATTAGAGAATCTTAGAAAGTATAAATTTTATGAGTTGCTAAAAGTCATGGCTAAGAAAAAATTAAGTTATGAAAATGGTCTGTCTGGGGGGCAATTTTTCAAGCCATTAATTGAAAAAGAAGACCCAACTTCTTTTGCCAAAGGATATCAAGCATTTTAATGTTAAAAATCCAATAGGAGGGCATGGTTTTAAGCTAATCATAGCTAAATTTGATGAACAACCATAAAAAAATGATGGTGAAAATCTAATTGGAGGGCATGATTTTAAGCCAAACATGGCTAACTTTGACGAACAACCACACAAAATGATGGTGAAAATCCAATTGGAGCGTATAATTTTAAGCCAAACATGGCTCAAAATTATGAACAACCCACATTTGATGAATTTAAAAATTTTGACATTACTAATTTTATCAAAAAATTTAATTTTCTAAAGTCAATTGACATTATGATTTCTATCATCCAACAATCACAATGGCTTTGTAGTTCACATCAAAAATTGATTTCGATGAAATGGTTTAGAAAAAGAAATTCTAAATTTTATTTATATTTCTTATATAATAGTAATGGGGGAGTACTTCAATGTTGCCGCAACAACAAAAAAAAAAATTATATATTTGGCCAATCGATTATAATTTTCATAATTTCTATTATATATTTATGTTCATACAACTTTTCAAGAATTCGAGCACTCTCATTCTTAAAGAATTGAGGAGGCACTGTTTGCACCATAAATAAATTTTTCGTCAATTATGACTAGATTTAAATTTATTATTATTATTATTATTTTAGAAAATCTTGGAGGATAAAGAGAAGTTAAGACAAGTTTTGAAAATTCAAGGGATGGAAGACACATGGCATTGTAAAAAAGAAGATGGAAAATTTAGGAAGTTAAAAGTAGTTATTTAAGTGGTGGTTAATGGAAGTTTTTTCCTTTATTTTTTCTATAAATTGCCATTAATGGCTCTATTGTAAGAGACCAACAAATCAATACATGACTTGATTTCTATCCTAAGAGTAAATGTAATCTACATAAGAGTAGTTCAAACTTAAATAGGAGTAGCTTTAATATATTTTATTTGTAATTTGGTTGCTTATTCAATCATTTACATCATCATCATCTTCTTCTTCTTCTCTCTCTTTTTCTTGTTTGTATTGCCGTTATTTTTACTCCAAGGAATTGAAAGCATAAAATCTCAACGCAATTGCTTGATTATTGTGTTGTTTGGTAAAATTTTAGTTAAGGCTTTATTGATTTAAGCCTAACAAAAATTATACTAACACAATCATAAGTAGGATAATCATAAAGAAAATAGTAGTATGGCTTGGAATCATCACTACAATTACAAAGACAAATTTCAAATTCATAACAGTAATAATAATTACATCATACGAGGTTTATTTGATTTAGCTAGTCTTTCGCAGTCTTAACAAACAATAACTACATTTTCAAGCATTGATCCACCAGAAAAGAACAGATGCATGAGCTAAACACAGGCAAAAGTTTGAGGAACAAGCAACACAAAAGGTCCTTACGTTTTAGCAACAATTTTTCTGCGATAACCAAATTAAAAGTGAAATGAAGACATCTCCTTTTGCTAAACACTGCCATTCATCTTGTGATTTCTGCTGAGCAATCAAAAGAAGGTATTGGATTTTTCAACCTCTTGGCTGACAGCTTGAGAAGAACTATTGGCATTTGATGTCCCTTCTTGCGAAGTGCTACCAAATTCTGCAGATTGAGAGAAACCAGCCATCTCTTCAGCCATTGCCGAATCATCCATTGAATAAGGGGTACTGAATGAAGCGCCAACTATCTTACTCTTTTCCCTCAAGAGTTTTCACAACCTCAGACATGGGGGGCCTGAGTGATGGGGATGGGTTAGTGCACAACATTGCTAATTCCAATATTGTATTTGCTTGCTCTGAAGAGTAGTCTGACCCTAAGGACGGATCAACTAATTCTACAAGATTTCCTTTCTGTTGTAAAACATATGCCTGTCATACATTAAAACCGAGTGTCCGTAGTTAGAAGGCATTATTTAAATAAAACACAACAAACAATCTCTCTTCATAATACTAACTCATTAAACTTTTAGCAATACACACACAAAGATATAATAAAATGTAATTAGTAGAATTACTAGAGTCTGTGTTCAGTTTTGGCTCACCAAATCTAAAAGGTAAACATTCTCATCATTTGGCCGATAACTGGTACTGTTCTTGCCACTGACAATTTCCAATGTGACAACTCCAAAACTGTAAACATCTGCCTTATTTGTTAAGTGACCTCTCATGGCATACTCAGAGCCATATATCCACTGCAAAAGACTTCTATGAGAATGATATGCATTCATCTTGAAAATAAATATGATTCCTAAATAGACAGTCTGTTTTTTTTTATTATGAGAATACTAATCTTCTATTACAAGGGATGATTTGTGATATGCAACATATATATATATAGAGAGAGAGAGAGAGAGAGAGGGGTTATCCCTTACGTGGTTCCTGCTATTTTAGTGACCACATGTGTCACTTCCTCCTCATAAAGCTTAGCGAATCCAAAATCAGATATCTTCGCATTAAAATCCTTGTCGAGAAGAATGTTTGTTGGCTTAATATCCCTGTGAACAATTTTCAGTTTGGATTCTTCATGTAGAAAAGTCAGGCCTTTCGCGATTCCAAGACAAATTTGAACTCTGGTGGGCCAATTTAGTCTTGACCTCACCTCATCTGAACCTGTAGATAAGCCGATTTATAAAATTTATATTATGTTAAAAAAAAAAAGGCAAAGTATTTTTTAAGGAAGTTCAGAGAACAGCTTGTCCTCTTTACCAAACAAAGCATGTGCAAGGGAGTTATTTTCCATGAACTCATAGACAAGAAGAAGTTGGTTGTCTTCTGCACAGCATCCCAGTAGCTTTACAAGATTTGGATGTTGCAGAGCAGAAATAGTTCCTACTTCATTTACAAACTCACGGATCCCTTGCCTTGATTTAGATGAAAGTTGTTTAACTGCTATTGCAGTTCCATTCAGAAGTACACCCTGCAGTCATGCAACAATTTTTTGGATTAAAAGCAACATGGATGTAAAACTGTTTATGCTAGCCCAGGATGTTAATACTGTTGAGTTCACCCATGTGGATAGAGGTAGCCACCATTGTTGAAATTGGTTGGCATGAATGCAGAGTAGCCACCAAGTGTTGACAATGGTGGGAGAGAAGCTAGGGAGACAAGTTGCACGTAGGGAGGTGGCAAGTTAATGCTTTCATATGGGAGTGGGATGGACTGTGGTCTCCAACTCACTCTATATATTGAGTTAGTTTGCAAGAGGCAAGAACAATACACAAGTGAGTCAGTAGCAAGAACACACAAGGGAGTGCGTTTCTCTGTGAAGGTGAGAAAATAGCTGAGAGTGTAAGACAGTAGAGAGTGTGTGTTGAGTGAGAGTCCACTCCTCTGTTTAATCTCTATTTTTTCAAGTGGAAATCTCTTGTTCTCTCCATGGACGTAGGCATTGAGGCCGAACCATGTAAATCTTGTGTGTCATTATTGTGTGTTTTATGTTTGGTAGTTCAGGTGGGTTGGCCTTAAAACCCAACAAATACAACATGACAAATATATTGATAATTGCAAATATGGGTGCAGGATACTCGGTTGACATGGTTGTTCCCAGAAATTCCTTCTAAACCGATGTATAGGTACAAACACCCAGTGGCAGGTCTGTTTGGTTTGTATCAGTTGTAAGTTTTGGTTTGGATTGGAACAGAGCTTTTACCAAATAAAACTTGGGTTATTCATTAGCAAATGTGAAAATTCTTGTTATAAAGTAAAATCTAACAAAAGCCTCAATATAAAATTAAAAAAAAAAAAAAAAAAACTATGTGATGGAGAAACGATAAACATTCCCACTCTGATACATAATATAATAGATGAATAGCTGAATCAGAGACCTGAATGTCAATTGCAGATATTACAGTCAGTGTCAATTTGGTTTAGAATTTTATCAAACACTTGGCTTGTTACATTAAACAGTGTGCATCTGCACCTAGTAGTGTGAAAGAACAGATTAGATGATGCAAGCGTACCAGCAAAATATTGTCAATATAATTATTTAACTACAACCATTCGGTAAGCAACCATGATAATTTCAAGTCAATGCACAAAAACATATAGCCAAGAAAAATAATGACATCATTTAGGTGATAAATTGTGCTCGCTTGTGCATAGGAGAGCATGCAAATTTTACTAAATGTATACTTCAAAGGATCAGAAGCAAGTGTGCCCTATAAGAAACTAATATGAAATATAATAAACCTTTCATAGATTTTTCTGCAAAAACAAAAGAGGGAATATAAAAGATTTAGAGGGACATATATCAGATTTTGAAGGGGGGATTTTAATTTTTCTTTTATAAAAACAGCTAGAATTAAAATTTTAAATAGTTGAGAAGGGCAGCTGCCTCTTGTTGGCACATGGTGGCTCAGCCACTGCATACCCCTATTACTTGGTTGTAGACACTTCTTCGTCAATGATCCCAACCAAAGTTCAACTAACATGATCTATGTTATCTGGAACATCGATCGTTTTCGTACACGAAATGGGATTGGGAACATTATATTCTCCAAAATATGGTACAATAATGGTAGACTTGTTTAGATTACACTCTCAGGATTTAAGGTATAGTAATTTTCTTTTAAAAATTAGACATCCAATAACATGTTGCTTTTCTTTTGAAATTATATGACTATTATGATCCATTGTTTTACGTTTTGTCATACCAAAACTCCACTCTTCTTCCATTTTAGTTTATTATATTTGATTTGTTTTTCCTTGTAAGGTAACTTTTAAGGTTTATAATGGAAAATACTTTTGGCATGGCTTTGGATTGCCAAATTCAATGTTTTGGAATGAAAATTTACCACATTTTCGAGCGTTCGTTCCAAAATGTCAATCGCTCGAGTATTAATATTTTCTAGTAACACAGAACTAGAGTAATTACAAAGCTAAAAAGATCTAGGATATAGTAAAAAAAAAAATTAAATTTGAACCTTGTAGACAGATCCGAAACCCCCTTCACCTAGGCTCATTGCAGGGCTGAAATTTTGTGTGGCAGCTTTTATTTGTCGAGCATTGAAAAACGAGCCAGATAATAACTCCATGCCTTTCAGTTCTGTTTAAATACATTAAAAGTCGCCGCGGGGGGGTGGGAACGAAAGAACAAGAAAATCAGTACAACGATCGTTACCGACATACAAACTGATGTCAAGGTTATAGTTATGGAACTCATGGAAACTGAACTTCATTATCATTTGTCATTCTTACCTTCATCAAGCAGTCCTTTCTTCCGAAAGCAGCCCAATTTCCAGAGGGATAGTAAAGCTAATGCAAGGATAAGTAGTCCAGATGCTACAATCCCAGCAATTACTAGAGGAGGGAGTTTATATTTTACACGATGTACAGAAATACCAGATATCAAAGGACCATATTGTGGAAATCGGTAACCCGTAGAGCCTTTGCCAGCCCAATATAAGTGAATCTCTAGTCGGCTGTTATTCACATGAACTTCATCAAACTCTAGAGTGATATTCTGGTCGACACCCATAGCCTGTTCTACTATATTGAAATTTGTTTCTACCTGTTTGTCCTGCACGCAGTAATCAACTTTCAATATTACATTTTAAGTTAAAACCTAAGAGCACATACACATTTAAGAAGGTCATGTGTCGTGTTCAAGACTGTATCAGACATCGATACAACACGACACGACACTCATTGGGCACTTTCCAACACTTAAATACACGTGAAACACATTAGAAATTTGAATATAATTACTTGGAATTAGGGACGGAACTGTGTCGTTGAGTGGGTTGAACCCACTAAACTTTGAAATATGTTTAGGATTATATATTGTTATGTAAAGTTTTGGAGAGGTTTTCATAAATTGACAATACTAAAATTATTACAAAATTAAATATAATGGTGTTACTTTTTTAAAAACAAAAATGATTTGTCAATAAATTTTTTTTTTTTTTACAAAAAATATATTTAGAATGACATGTCAATCATATTTTCTAAAATATGAGGGCAATGGTGAGTCTTTTGATTAAAAATGAAGAGACAACAAGAAGCGTATAAAAATTATGCATTTATATAATAGTACTCTTTTTTCTTTTTTCCAAAAAAGTGATCATTCTCTTCAATCATGAGAATACTTAAAGTGTTTACAAGTTTTTCTTTTCCTCATGTGATTACTCATTTTGCCTTTTTTCTCACTCTCTCTGCTCAATTGATTATAAATCGTAGTGTTGCTCTCATTAGTTTCGTTGAATCAATAGTATATTAATGTTCCTAAATTTCGTTGTACAAGTAATTTAATAAGTTTGAATTATTTTTGTAATGTTATTATTAAAAATATATTTTATTGCAATGTATTATTGTATATTGTATGAAAGTTTATTTTGAAAACATTTGTAGAACGGCTTCTCTCAACTTATCATCTCAACTTGAGAGAGTATTTGCACTTTTAAAACCGATTTCGGTGATTTGAACCATTCACTTTTTAAGACTCATTGAGTAGAATATTCATGTAAAAAAACTAGATGATTGGACATCGCTAATTATATGTTTGAATTATATTTGTTTTATAAAATTTGACAACAAATATAATTTCAAGAATAACAATCCATTTTTTATAATACAAATTTGATCTAAACATATAGCTACCAATGTCCGACTATCTTGATTTTTTGCATGAATATATTCTACTCAACGAGTCCCACAAAGTGAATAGTTCGAATGACCGAAATTGGTCCCAAAATGGGCCTACCAAGCCCAACGCTCTTTCAAGTCAAGATGAGAAGCCAAATCCACTAGAAATATGAAATAATGATATTGATGATAGCTAACTGAATGACCCCATTAAATCAAATTTTTTACTACGCCATTGCTTGGATCCAATGCTAAAACAGAAACTATGTAAATAAATATCTATTATCATGTTTTGAACTTTAGAAATTATTATATTTAACTTAAATATTCATAAACAAAACTCACAATAATTATACATAATAATTATTCCTTATATAATATACTTAAGTTTATATATTTTGCATGTGTTCTCCACATGTCTTTATTCGTGCCCGTATTTCATAGGTTGCATTTTTTGTTAAAAGTACCAACTACCAAAGGTATATAGACTCCGTTAAGTATAGGTACCTGAATTTTCACATTGAAAATTCGCTTCAATGTCCTTCTAAGCTTTGTCTGATTAAGCCCTCTGTTTTGATTCCATGCTATCTCAGCAAAGTGAAGTTTCACAATGTAATGTCCATTTTTTAAGCAAAATCCATAATACTTGAGGGATATGGGGGCAATGCGCGCAGTACTGTACAATTTTGCATCGGACATGTTAAGGTCGCATGTTTTATACCTTAGGTACTTGCTTTGGGATGGTAATGGGGATGGGGACCACCAGCCAGGGTATGACTCAATAAAACTTCCCATACTACTGTATCCCCATTTGTTATTAGGACTCAAAAAGAAATGTGAACCTCCAAGAGTGTCGTTATCAGCTTCATATCCAGTTCCATTGATTGATGCTATTCCACCGCCACAATTTATGTACAGGTGATCATCTACAACAGATTTCACAGTTATCAACTACCTTTTCAATGCAATTTCATTTGTTTGTCCTCTAAATAAAAAGAAATAAAAATATCTCAACAAATGATAAAGAGTTTAATAAAAGAGAACACACATTAAAATTTTCATGATGTGACTACTTTATCTTTATTTGGTACAGTTAAAAATAAAAACATTCAACAAAAATAAAGATAAATGTGGAATTAAAAATTTATTTTTATCGATATCAACTTAAAAAGGTGTCAATGTGTTTTTTAAATTAAACAGGAATACATTTTTTTTTATTAAACTATAAGAAGATGGATTATAATGAAGTAAAGGGATAATTTTGCATTTGATTCATTTTTTAGAATTTTATCTTTCAATGATAAAATGTGTTGTCATTAATATCCTTTTCTAAATATTAATATTAACATACATTTTCGTGTAAGAACTCAATGGAATTCACTTCTTTCTTTGTTTGATTTGAAGGGGAAGGCCCAGTTGAGTTTTTAATAATAATCATAATTTTTTTCATCTAAATGACAAAACAAATTTCTTTTTCTGATGTTTCAAAATGTTCCATTCCTTAGATAGAGAAGATCACTAAGATTTCGTGATTCACTAACGAACTTATTCCAATTCTAAGAGCTTGGATTGAATCGGTGTTGATATATTGATTTGATCCAAGGTCTCTTATTGAATTGCTCATTCAACGAGCATCACAATATGCCTTGATGAGGACATTTGCTGAGATACTAGATGCTTACCAAAAGAGGGGAATTGCACGTAAGAAAAGGGAGAATCTTCATGGATTGGTTTCCACCAAACGAAGTTTCGTGCATTTTAGATGGTGGTAAAGTGAGACCACATAAAGAGCTCTTCCTCATTCAGTCAGATTATTTAGTAAGACATTGTTCCTTTTTCCTTTTTGTTTGAATCTTCATATACAAAGCCGGCTTCCTCATCAATATCTAGTCGGGCCTTTACAGAGAGCCGACAAGGAATTCCATTAATAACTGTCCCTTTTGATCCTTTGGAACAACTCAATGAATTTAGTTGATCCTTTTAGGAAGCCGACCACCACCTCCGACAACCAACTTTGGTTTCCAATGACCATTTTCCAACAATTGTTTTCGGACCACTGGTTGCCAACAACTTTCTAACGATAATCTCATGTGATCATTTTCCGACAACTTTCCCCACCCTCCTCCACCGACTCTTCCCCTCTGACAACGTACTCCAGCCACCACCCCTGGAAACTCTCCCTATCATCATACTACCACTGCCACGCCACCACCACCACTCAACAAACCACACACACACACACACACACACAAAAAGAAAAAGAAAAAGAGAAAGAAAGAAAATCCGTAACATGAATAACAAGTATTGTGAAAGTTGATGTTTTGTAAATAAATACTAATGGGGAAACTTGGTAACATGAATAACAAGTTTTGCTATTTCATCCCACAACTTGGTTTTGTCCATGGGTAGACTCAAGGGATTGGAATTTGGCCTTTAGAAGATCTTTTCTAGCCTGGGAGGAGGAAGAGGTTGAAAGGCTATATGATATGTTGTTAGCAACCCCTTCTCTTCGACCAGAGTCTACTGATTCAATTGGGCGGACTGCATCTTCATCAGGACAGTTTACTGTGTCCTCATTATGGAAATGGTGTGAATCTTTCCATGGGCCTAATCTTGGAGTTCCTAAGTTGCTGTTGTGTAATGTATCTCCTCCTAAAGTTCAATTTTTAGGATGGCTAGCCAGGAAAGGATGGGTGAAAACAACAGCTTTTTTCACAGAGGATTGGTGTGCTCAATGGTAATGTTTGCAATTTGTGTTCTTTTGGTAAGTTCAATGTTGAATCTGTCAACCATGTTCTTTTGTTCAGCCCTTTTATTTGGAAGGTATGGTCTGATATCAAAAAATGGTGGAATTTTCAATGGGTAATGCCTGGATCAGTAGAAGGACTGCTTCAGTGGTGGCCAGGAATTAAGTTCAAAAAACTGGAGCTGCAAATCTGGAAGGCTATTCATCTTGCACTGTTGTGGTCTGTTTGGAAACTCAGGAATGATGCTTGTTCAATGGGTGCCAACCAGATTTTGTTGAGTTGGGTTAAATTGTTAAGGTAAGAGTTTCTTTATGGATTAAGTACAATTCAAAAGGGGTGCCTTACTCAGTGCATGATTTTGTCTCAAACCTCAAGCAGATTAGATACTTGAGAGAGGTGGTTGGTGACTTTGCATTGGTCTGGTTTTTGGTTTTCTTTTTGCTGGTTTTGCTTTTGACCCTTTAGTTTGTTTCTGTTGTTCTGCTTCTGGGTTGGTTTTGTTGAGCTTTGTTGGAACCTCTACAACTTTTTTGGCTTTGGTGGCATGTGATTGGTCTAGCATTAGGTACCAACCTAGTTGGGACATCATGCAATGACAATGATGCTCGGTGTTTTCCAAAGTCTTTAATCTCATTGTACTTTTTCTTCCTGTTCTGTTTTTTGATAAATTGAAGTTTCTTTGCTGATATAAAAAAATAAAAAATAAAAAAAATCCCACAAAACCAAGCATATGTATATATATTGAGAACATAATTAGAAATATGTGAAATGTCAAGTAGACTGAACAATAATTCAACGAGCATACTAGTTTAACCCAGTCATGTCCAATTAAATCATAAGTCACGTCCAGCATGCTAAAGCAGCATCCACCTAAGATATCTCTACAGTTTTAAATATCATTGACTTACCTTTTGATTTTTTACTGTCGCAAGGGTAATTTTGTTGTTCCCATGCTTCAATAGGCCTGCAATGTCAATAAGAATAAGACAAAGAAAACATCAAATGCTTGCTAAAATTTGCCCAACTTTAGATGAGCATTTTAGGCTACGTTTGTTTCAAAGTAAAATAATTTTGAGGAAAATATTTTATCTAAATTGTTGTTTGGTTGGCCAAAAAGTAAGAAAAGTATTTTTCAAGCAAAATAGTTTTGGTAATAAGGCAAAAATTAAGTATGTTTCAAAAGACAGTAAGTTATTTTTTTTGATCTATATCAATCAACGCTTCTTGAGTTTCAATCTTTATCTTATTATATTCTTTTCTTTTTCAAAGTTTTATCTATAATTAATTCATTATTAAATTTTTTCTTGTAGAAAACATTTTGTCAACCAAACACAGAAATTCAAAGAAAAACTTTGCTCGTCTAAAATCATTTTACATGAAAAAAAATTTACGGTGTAAATGTTTTACATCGAAACAAACAAGAGCCTAGAGTCAAATAAAATACACCCCCCCCCCCCCAAAAAAAAAAAAAAAAAAAAAAAAAGAAAAAAAAAAAGAAGCAAGAAATATGAGGGCTTACCTGTCTTTTATATTAGAGCAGCATGAAAACAAGTTCCTGAAAGAAAAAATAACAATAACAATAAACAAGAATATGCAAAAGGAAAGATAAATGGAGAAATGTGAAGTGTGAATTATGGGTTTCCCTTACCAATTTATAGAAATGTTTCCAGGTGGTAAAGTTAAATTTGTGAAATTGTTTTCAGAAATATCCCTGCAAAAATGTTATGTCAAAACTAAGTAATGAACCTCTTGGTGGAACTCCAGGAAGCTGCCTATTGTAGCATTTAGCTATTAGAGAGAAAAAGAAAAAGAAATAACCTTAGTCGTTCTTGTTGTTTGAACTATATTTTTATAAGTTTTCTTGAGTCAATCTATTGAGTTACCTAAAAGGGAGAGATTACCATGTACACTCCTAAAAGGGTGAATAGGGAATGCCTTTCATAACTTTTTCACAAAATTTTGTAGCATAAAATACAAATTGTCATAACTTTTCTCACAATAAAATGACATAATAAAAACCACAAAAGTGTTATAATTTCGCCATTCATAACTTTAAGGTACAGATCATAAATTTACTATTCGTAACTTTATCACAAAGTGGCATAAGATGCTATAAACATTCATAACTTTTATCAAAAAAAGCGTAACTTTCGTACGGGGCGCACCTTTTTAGGGGTGCAAGCTTTAGATTTTTCCTACTTAAAAACATCTTCTACAATTCTATAATTAACAAATTAGTTGTGTTTTGGGTAAAATTATTGAGGCAAGATCTAATTACAGGAATCATAAGGATGTGTATCTACATAGAAATCACAACTGAAAAATAATAGGATGTTTAACTCTTAACTCTTTTCCCTAACCTTCATGCTACAAGTCTAATGGGTAATTAAAACTAATGAGAGTAGAGACCAACTCCTTATGCCTAATGTGACACCCCAAAATTTCGGGGACGTCAAGGTGACATAATAGCATGATACAATAGGGTTTAACTAGCGTAGCACAACATTACATACATAAATAATCACAAAATAAAATATATTAATAGTAATAATTACATATAAGAATTAGACTAGTTAGCAATAAATAATACAAAAGTGAGTCTTCCATATAATCTTGGAAAATAAAACAAAATAAAAAATAAAAGAAAGAAAATCTACATCCAACGAAACCATGGTTCCTTGAACACTTCAGCAATGCTTTCTTCTAAATAATACTCTTTTTCACTTAGCGTGAAACGCCATGAACTTGGAATACCCAATAAAACACACACCCCCTAACCCTTATCCAACACAAGCAAACAAGCATGATACAAGGCACGATATAATGAAAACATACAACAATAAACATGTTAAAAGTTAGCGCATAATTCTAGAATCCCCTAAAGAGATCCTTTCCTCTTGACCATAAGGAGTGAATTCAAGTTATTTGGTACTCTCCCTTTTCCTGCTTTGCAGACCCCTACATCGATTATCCACAGGGTAGCGCCAATCGAGAACCTCAAAAGAGATGGTAAAAACAAGGGTCAACACCCTGAAAGTCCCCAAAATGGACCCAGCCGTATTCCTCTGAAATCAAACCATTGTCTAGAGTCTGAATACACCCGTTCCATCCTAGGGCTATGATTCAACCACTTGCACAAGACTTAACTCAAAAAGGGGACATGTCCCACCAACTTTCATTTCCAAATCATGAATTTCAATTATGTTTCCAAAACATGATAAATGAGTGCAAAACTTGTCATTACCCCAATTAAATTTCCCCTTTCTTAAGTTTATTATGAAATACAATTAGCAATAATGAACTGATACTATATTTGAGGGTGGGGCGAATAATACATGAGCAAATATAACTAATAAAGGGACACATACGATATCATGGAGGCAAAACTAATAATAGACAAGTCATTGATAATATACAAGTCAAGAAAGCACATAACCACTACTATTTAGTATTTCAGATTCGCAGGGACAAAAAGATTAAATCGGTAAAAATACTTCCGGGACTCCTATGGGTCTGAAATTTGTTGAGATTGTAAGACAAGGAGTCTAGTTTCATCTCCAATTTAAAAAACAGAAAAGGGTAACCATAGCTCCAGGAAATTGACACTGCTTTAGTTCTGTCCAGATTTGTGGATTTTCTCACAATCCGCTCAATCATTTTTGCTCAAATAAATTTTAGATGAAAGTTAATATTCAAAGGAAACTTTAGACACAAAATTCAACTTAAGGGGATTATTCTTGAATTTTATAAAAATACGCAAGTAGGCTGTTTTTCAGGAACAAAAACGTGAAGAAATTGGATGGGCTATAACAACATACATTTAGGCTTTACAGAAAATCACACATATTCTGCATACATCATATAATACGCCATTGAAATAGGTCTGAAGTTCATGAAGAATTGACATTGAAATAAAATCAAGGAAACAAGGTGCAACATACCGGAAACAAGGCGAAAACACTTACTTAAACTGATTCAAGAGCAAGCCATCATACCAACACACTATAACATGAGTAATATAGATATAATATCATTTATGAGAAGAAAATATAGGATAGAAATGGTGAAGAAGGGAGGAGGGGATAGTGTCTTACCTTTCTAGCAAAATTTTCTTTCTTTCCTTTCTTCTTCTCTTCTCTTCCTTACTATGTTTTTTACTCTCTTGCTTTCTCCCTCTCCTTATGGCCGGTTCTAGTGTTTCAAAATGAGGGGGGTTGTGGTCTTATTTATAGAAGAGGATTTGGTGTTGAATTGTCTAAAATACCCTCGGTTGGTTTACAATTGAATTGGTTGGCATTTGGTTGAAATGGAATGGAATAGAGAAGGATTAGGGAGACCTAGTTATGGTTTAATTAAGGCTTTGGTTGGGTAAGGATACAAATAAGGGGGCAAAGGGACACCATTTCCCTAAATCATGGATGACACCATACCTTTAGTTTAAAATTCATAAGATGTAAATATGAACCAACAATAAAATTGTGGTGCCTCCAATCACAATAGTAAGTTCACACCCACACAATATATTGTGTGCACGCTGCAACTAACATGTTAAATCAATTTATTTGGTTTCAGTTTATATCTAGAAAGCACACACCAAATTTTAACACCTTAGATTAAAACAAATATTCGAAATCAAAACAATTACAAAATAAAACTTTACCCGATGGAACAATTTACGCAATTAGGTATATCTCTAGATTAATTGTGATGATATGTAATTAAATGAAATATCATGCTATAAACTCATAATACTGATCATGAATACACCAATGACTATGTTATTAAAATTTCCCAGAAGTTACAAAACTTATTTTCCAGAATTATGAAAAGGTTGCAAGCACTGAAATTGGCTCTGAAGAAGTGGAATTTTGAAGTGTTTGATAATGTGGTTACTAAACTCAAAGCAGCTGAAGAAGAACTGCTTTCTATGGATCTTGTTGTTGAAGTTAGATCTTTACAGGAGTCTGAAGTTAGTAGAACAAGGGAGATTCAAGGAGAGAGATGGAAAACTAAGGAAAATGAGGGAATGGTTATGGCTTCCAGAATCTAGATTGGGAATGGTTATGGTTATGAAGTAATCTTGCTCTAATTAACCTTCAACTATCTATATTAATCCCCCCCCCCCAACCAACCAACCAACCAAAAAATAAAAATAAAAAAAGGGCATCCACATTATCTCTTCGACCTATAACTGATTGAACAATTTGTGAATGTGCATATAGCTTATCATTTCTAATTGTCTTAAATGATCAACAAAGCCTTGATTTGTTGAATAAATCTTGAGAGGAGGATAGTGAATCATACTTGCTTAGGGACAACTCTTGTAAAAAAAGAAAGCAAAGACAAGTTTGATCGAGAAGGAACTATCCTTCATCATCCGTGATTGTATCATTGATGAAATTTAATGAAGAATAATGGTAGCTTTACACCTGTTAAATCACATTATACATTGTTACTGTATTAGTTAAGTGAGTTTACTTGTAAACCTAAATGTTAGACAAGATTGTTTATTAAAAGGTCTATAGGGTTTTTTTTTTTTTTTTTTAATTTTCACTTTTAAATATAAGTTTTGATTAATGTACATGTTTTCATCAGGCTTGCAAATATGCTTTTAGATCCATATATATATATATGAATATTTATTTTGGATTGCGGTTTCATTTTAGTCTAGATGAATTCATCATTAAATCACATCTTGTAATTAAACAACAGGAACCACATTAAAAGCTAATTTTCAGACAACTTCATTATGAATTCAAAAAATCAACTTGGCAATGGAATAGTATTTATGTAACTGAATTATACTTGGTCCCCCATACTTATATATTACTTATTAGTTTTGTTAGGATTCCAAATATTACTCCTAAATTCATCTACAATGGCCTATAGCATGACCTATGTCATGGTTGTTTACACAAATCAACAATTGACATTTAACCTTCCACATCATTTTCAGTAAATTTTGGAGTGAGATTTTGGAGTACTCAAACTTATTCTTTTACTTATATTTCATGATTAAATGCACATTGTAGAGACTCCAATTTTCGTAATTATCTTTGAATCTCTAATGTTAGAAGTTATGTCAATAAAACCCCTAAAATTATCATTTTCTCGCAAATTTAACCCTAGAACTCCAACTCATCGTGGGTGTATTTAATTAACCCTAATCACTCCTAATAACTTAGAAAGATCCCCTAATTATAAATTAATCGCTTAAAAATCTTAATCCTTGATAACACCATTTTTGCTCGATTTCTCGCCTTTCTTTGCGATTTAATTCGACCGGACCCGAATTAATTATTTTAACTATTTTATTATAATTATATATTAATAATAAGTGCTGATTTATCAAAATTTCAGATTTGGTCCTTGTCCTTTTATTTATATTGCATTTAGGTCCTTTCTTGATTTTTTATTGAGTACTGTACTACTTAACTATTATATTATATATACAATATCTTATATATATCTCATAAATATATGTAAAACAATCTGATTTTGGTACCTTAGGAGAGGGGTAGCCGTCTGCCTTGTACTTGAGAGGCTAATTGGCAATTTTCAATAAAATAAAATTACAAAAAAAAAAACAAATAAAAAAGGAAAGAAGTCATTGTTCAAATCCTTAATTTGGGGATGTGTTCCCTTGTCCCCTATTATCCTAACTAAGCTAACTAGATCCTTAATAAAACAAGCTTAAGAGCCTTAATCCACACCTATTCCATTTCATTCCAACTAAATTGTCAAAAATTCAATTCAAACCCAACTAAGGGCCAATCCTCAATAAATTGGCAATACACTCTCCCTCATATACACACAATACAGCCCGCAGTAGTAGGAAGAGGGAGAGAGAAAAAGACTTGGGGAAAAAAAAAAAAAGAGAAGGAAGAAAGAAAGATTTTGCAAATTCAAGTAAGACATACACTCCTCTTCTCTTCTCCAATCTTCTCACCCCATCTCATCCTATCTCCTAGTATGTCTCTTTTGTGTATGTAATGTTGATATGCATGGACATAGGGTGTATGTGTTAAGTGTTAGCATGAAAAAGTAATTTTATCTAGCATTTTATTCTCAATTCATGCACTGCTGTAACTTTCTCATTTTTGCAAAAAATATCAAACTTACTTATTTTCCAAATCTGATTATAGGGGATAATATTTGAGGTGTGTAGAGCATGTGAAAATTTTGGTAGCCCCTAATTATGTGATTTTATAGCCTAAACATTTTTTTTTTTAAATATGGTCCTATGTTCCAGAAAAACAGTCCACTGCTTAAGTTTTTATAAAATTCCAAAAAATCACCCCATGTTGGTTCTTAGGTAGAATGTTAGCATTTTGTGACCTCTTTCCACAAATAAATTATTTGAGCAAAAGTTAATGAGTAGTTTGAGAAAATCTATTTTTACTAAAAGGTGGCAAATCTGGACAGATGTTGGAAAATGGCTTGTAGCTTAATTCCTGGTTGTGGTATGCTAATTCTACAAATTGGAGATGAAACTTGTTGTTTTATACTTTTGTTGAATTTCAGCTCCTAATTTGACCTAGAAGTATGTTTGCCATATTTTTATTTCCGTTTCAACTATTCTAAAAATTCTAGAAGTAAATCCTTAAATGCTTGTTACCCTCAAATGTTTTATTAGCATGCTAAATGTTAATTTCTTGCCTTATCATGTTTTGTATACTTTAGTTTGGGTTATATTTCCTCTCATATGTATGACTCATGTACGATTATGCTTGAATGTGACTAACTCGCCTTTTAATACACCTAATTAACGGGAAATGTTAAGGGATTGGAAATGAGAACGTCACCAGTAATGTTTTGGAATGACTTATTAAGTGTATATTAATGAAATAGATTGTGATGGACTTGTTACCAATTGAGTTTAATCTTGCGCAAGTGGTTGCCACATTAAGCCACATTAACCCTAGGGTAGAATGGACATATTCGGACTCTACGCAACAATTTGATTTACTGAGATAAGGTTGGGTCCAGATGGGACATTTAAGAGGATAAAACTTTTTTTTTGCTTTGGAGGGATAAGGTTGGGTTCAGGACGATAAAATCTTTTTCTTTTGGCTGCCTCTTTTGATGTCCATCAATGGCGTCGTGTGTATATAATCGTTTTAGACATCCGTGGTAAGGTCTACAAAGCAGCAAAAGGAGGAGTTCTAAATAGTTTGGTGTCCAATTCTAGCAGTTAGGAGGACAGGTCTCTTTGGAGGACTCGAGTGGTCTTTTTAATGTATTTATTCTATTATTTCATTACTGTTATTTGCTTAAAGTGCTTATTGTTATATTATTTTATGCTTGTGTTAAATTGTTAAGAGTTTTGGATGTGTGTGTATTTACTGCGCATTCCATAGTCATGGTGTTTTATGGCAAGTAAAGACAAATTCTATGTTGAGGATAGGTTCCTTGAAAACTTTGAAGAAACTTGGTTGCCTTAGGAATTAGGTTATCTACCTCCGCTTTGGACACCTTTTTTTAATCAGAACTTATGTTTTGTAATTATTGACCTAAAAACTTATGTCTGCAACTAATATTTTTTTTAGTCGTTAACATTTTATTTGGTACTTAATTATTTGTAATCAAGGTTCTAAAAAGCGGTTGCGGTTGCGGTTGCAGTTGCGGTCGCCGTAGCGGTGGCAGCGCGGTTGCGGTTGTGGGGTGTAAAGATCGTAGCGTAACGGTTGCAGTAACCGGAATCGTGAATTTTTTTATTTTTCGCACAATTTGAAAAAAACTTACCAATACACATTTTTTTTCCATGATCATATTTATTGGGTTTTAAAATAAATATTGATCAATTTTTCTAAATTTTTAAGTATGATCCAATATATTTCATATTTTTGAATCACTATAAACTGAGTTTTTTACATTTTATTTTAACAATTAATGACTTTATATATTATACAAAAAATCATTCACTAATTGTTATATATAAGATAAACAATAACAAAAGTATGAGAATAAATAAGAGCCTAAATATATATATATATATTTTAATCAAGCCAAATAGATAACGATCACACTTATTATTATTATTATTATTATTATTATTATTATATGGATAGACACACACAAACCAAATGGTTGAGTGATAGTAGCTGAATAGAATAGCATAGGTCTTACAGTTTCAACAAATCAATAACATGTTCTTCATTTTCCCTCTTCTCTCTCTCTATCTCTTTCTCCTCCATCTTCCCTCTTCTTTCTTTATCCCTCTTCTTCCATTTTCAATTTTTTTTTTTTTTTTTTTTTTTTTTTTTTAAAGAAGCAATTTGGAACCATTACGTAACGGTGCGTAACAGGCCTTTACAGTCGTTACAGCACTGTTATGACCGCTACAGCAACCACTACGGCCGACACACCTGTGAATCTGAATCACACCGCAAAAGCGGCCGTAACAGGTGGCGGTAACCACCACAACCGTTACGTAACGGTGTTATGTAACGGTTGCGACCGCTTTTTAAAACATTGCCTATAATATATCATGTATCCACTAGTTAAGCTCTACTATTTTAGTATATTGTGTCACCTTGATGCACCCGAAATTTGGGGCGTCACACACATAGCCCCTCAAAGGTTTTTTCTTCTAAAAAGTAATTAATATTTGTATTTCCCATTGTAGTCATGTTATGAACATTAAAATGTTACAAACTATTGTGGTGACAAAAGTTATGAACAATTATGGTTTTGTTATGAATCATTGTGATATAGTTTTAAAAGAGCATATAGGTATGGATCTTTTGCATGGTATGATTTATAATCTATTATCATTCATGTAGTATGTGAATTATGTGATATTACTTATGCTTTGTACTTTTCTACTTGTGCATCATTGAAGTTCAATTTCGTATAACACATTTAGAGTGTTCTCATTATTTATTAACTTATTTTGATAGTGATTTATTTATTTTAATTATTATTTAAATCATTTAAATATATCAACGCTTGGATTTGTCGAAGATTTATTTTTCCCTCCCTTCAATCATCAACTCCAGGCTTCATCCCTAGAATAGTAGCTTCATACTAATTAAAAAACAGACCAATGCTTCAAGAAACACAATTTAACAGCAGGAAAAGAAAATGAAACATGAGATATTATAGTTTCACTGAGCAAGTAATTGCAAATTCTAGTAACAAACACCTACACGGATGAATTTGAGATATTAGTGAACCATCTCAGCGATGAATTGTGGAACTTATTTCCCCTGAGGTATCTGAGCATAAAAATAAAAAGATAAATAAGTTCATAATCAAAACTAAGCATATGTATTACACTAAGCATATGTATTACATATAGAACACTTGGACATCCCACGGAAATGAAGAAATCTTTTATTTTTCACAGCATTTTAATCAACTTTTACAACATTAATGGAATGCAAAAGGTCACAATACAAAGCATAATTTGACAAATATGTTGCTTTGGGCTCGCAATAAAGTCAACAAATATCCAAATAATTTGTGCCCGCTTTTTGTTACAACTCATTGTGAGAATATTAGTTTATATTATTGTGTAAATATTTTAGATTGTATTAGATTGTGTGAATATTTTATTCTTAGATTGCTTTATATATCAAATGTACACATTGTATTGTTTGACGACTTGAATATACCAAAATCATTTAGAAATCATACATGGTATCACAGTCATGTCTGAAACCCTAGTTATCACCTCTTATTGTTCGAAGTTCCCTCTAGTTTGAAGTTCTCCCTTCGATTTGAAGGTTCCCTTTGGTTTGAAGTTTTCTCCCTCTAGTTAGAAATCATCTCTGGTTTTCATTTCAGGATTCGATTGAGTACAAGTCGTCAGTTCACCCTCTGCCTCGTTAGGTTCTTTACAACTCTTCTGATTTTCAAAACGTGTCTGATTTGAGTCTTGTGGGTGACCATCGGAATCAAGTTTTCTAGGTCGAAATCGCGATGTTGTTTGTCTCGCGACTTGGTTTCGACTCCAGTGTCCATCAGCTCGTCTGCCCTTCCATCGCAATCCATCTGTGACCCTCATGGTTTGGGTTTATCTTTTTCAGGTTCGTCTGGTTCGTGGTTGACTCTCTCTTTGGACCTCGTGACTTTTGCCTCTCTCTGGTTCTGGTTCTGGTTCAACTCGCTACATCGCTTTCTCTCGCTGGTGTTGGTTCAGCCCGTGACCCTCTCTGGATCTTGATTTGATCGCGTGACCCATCTGAGGTATAATCTTTCTTAATCGATCCATCTCCTCTTTGATTCGCTACTTCCGCTTTGGAATTGCGCAACTCACTTTCTAGTTCTGTTGGTCATATTTGACGCATCTAGTATTAATATTGGCTTAAATTTTGCCCTATCAGGCCTTGGTTTATTACGCTTCGATCCCTAATTTGGCTATTTAGGATTTATTACACTCGATCCCTTCAGCTTTTTGGTTATTACAATGTCTCTTACTTTTAATGAGTATGCCTTCTGCCATTAGAGGGGCCATTGGAAGTATCATTTCCCAAGAAGGGACGTTCATCTGCTCTACAGTTTCAGCCACACTTTCGAGCTCCTACTTAGAATACTTTTCAGACTCCAGTTGTTTATAGTGCATCTATTCCGTCTCCTGATCTTGACTTGGCTTCTTTGAGTACTTAGATTGGTCAGCTTCAGCATATACTATCTACTTCCTAACCAACCTGATATGCCTCTATTGTTTCATTTCTTCATTTAGTTTTACTTGGACCTTCTTAAGTATTTCCTCATTTATCTGGCTTTTTTACTCAGGTGTCTCTCATCATATGATTGCTCATCTCTCCTTAATTGAAAATTGTACTCACACTCCATTTCCTGTTATTGGTGATGCTGCTAATGGGTCTAGTATGTCTATTATATCTGTTGGGTTTGTCTTACCATCTGATATGTCTACTATCACTATTTCATGTCCTTTATGTTCCTCAATCATGTCAGCTTATTATCTATCAATCAGCTTGATGTCTCTGGTTTTGATGTTATTTTTTTCTTTTTCTATCTGTTCTGTATAGGATCGAATGTCCAAGCAGCAGATTCGGGGATGCCTATGACTACCCATTCGATTGTTTTTTTCCCTTTTTAGTTAGATTCTTTGTCAAGTCCTTTTATTTATGGCATTCTAGATTGGGGCATTTGTCTGTTGACCGCTTACGGTCTTTAGCTCAGTCAGGTTTATTGGGTAAAGTTTTTCCTAGTCAACTTATCAAGTGTTGGGAGTGTAAACTAGCCAAAATGACAATCCTATCCTTTCGTAAAAGTACTTCTATTTCTGATACGTCATTTTCTTTCATTCATGCTGATATATGGGGCCTTTTTCCTATTCTTACCAAAGGGGGTTCTACATACTATATGTTATTTGTTAATGACCATCGTACTTTTTAGTCTATGATCGCTACAAAGTTTGGGTCTACTATCAAATTATTACACTCTAACTTAGGTGGGGAATATTTTAAAATTGAATTCTATGAGTATTTGGCCAATTTGGATACCATTTACCAAATTTTCTGTATTAATACACTTGCCTAAAATTGTCGAGCTGAGCGTAAACACCGTCATCTCCTTGACGCAGCTCGATCTCTTCTTCTCTTTACCTCTGTTCGGGTTCCGTTTTGGGATAAAGCATTACTTACCACTGCTTTTCTTCTCAATCGTATGCCTACTCCCCTTCTCTTTGGTTGTTCCCCATATAAGGCTCTGTTTTCTTAACTTTCAAATTACTCTCTCCTTTGCGTTTTTGGGTCTGCTTGTTTTGTCATTATTTCCCGTAAAGATGAACCAAACTTAGTGTCTGGTTTATCCTATGCGTCTTTTTGGGTTACAGTCTTACTCAGAAAGGCTATCGTTGTTACGACATTATTTCCCGTGCTTTTATATCTCCTAGCATGTTGTCTTTCTCGAACGTCTGTCATACTTTTAGCTTCCTCCTATCACTGCCCAGGTTTCCAAAGAGGATTTGGATCACATTGATCCATTTCCTTCCGAGGACCCTTTTGATGAGTATGTCTTTACAGTTCTGCATGAACTTGTTCCTTATTCTCTTTCTCCTACCCCTTTCTTGCTGAGTCCCTCTCCACTATCCCTCCCAAGTTTGTTCATTCTTCTCCTCTTCGTTGCCCTCTACTCTTCATCCTCCTCTGTTGTTAGTCTATTCTTGTCGTAAGGCTCTCCATCTACCAATTATCTCTACCCAAGCTACTGATCCTCCTACTTCTAATGACTCTAATCTGACTAATTATAAGTATCCCCTTCGCAACCGTAAACAAGTAGTCAAACTTGGTTTTGCTAAAATATATTTTTCTCCTTCATATTACACCTTTTTGTTTGCTAGTCACTCTTTTTCATAACCCAATCTTACAAGGATCCTAGTTAGGTTCAACCTATGGAAGATGAGTTGTTTGCATTATAGAAGACTACGACTTGGAAACTGGTTCATTTGCTTGCTGGTAAGAATCTGGTGGGTTACAAATGGGTCTATAAAGTCAAGACTCATTCTAATGGTTCTCTCAAGCGCTACAAAGCTCACATGGTTGCCAAAAGGTTTCTCAAAGAAGTATGGTATTGATTATGAGGAGACCTTTGCCCCTATTGCCAAGATGACTATTGTCCGTACTTTAATTCCTGTCACTGATGTTCATTATTGGCCTCATTATCAAATGGATATTAAGAACGCTTTTCTTAATGGCCATCTCATTAAGGACGTTTACATGCGTCCTCCCCCTATCCTTCACCATTCCTCTGGGCAGGTTTGTCATCTTCGGTATACTCTGAATGGTTTACAGCAATATCATTATGCTTTTCCATACCTCTGCTGGTTTGTTGCCCTGTTACTTTATGTGGATGATATATGATCATCATTGGCTTTGACTCTTCTGTTATCTCTCAGATCAAGCAGCATCTCTTCCCCACTCTTGAAATGAATGATTTAGGCCCATGGTGATATTTTCTTGGTAATGAGGTAGCTTTTTCTTCCAAAGGATATTTTTTGTCTCAGGCCAAGTATGCAAATGAAGTTATTCACCGTGCCGATCTTACTGACACTAAGCTTTTTGATACCCCAACTGAGCTTAATGTGAAGCTTAACACTATGAATGGTGTCCATCTAGATGATCCTACTTTATATCAAGAGCTTGTGGGTTGCTTATTCTATCTAATGGTTACTTGCCCTGACCTTGCTTATATTGTTCATATAGTTAGTCAGTTTGTTTCTAATCTATACATTAGGTTGCTTTGATTCGGATTCTTCGCTATCTTTGAAATACTATCTTTTAGGGCTTGTGTTCTCTTCTACTTCTTCCTTAGACTTGATAGCCTATGTTGATTCTGATTGGGCTAATGATGTCACTGATTGCAAGTCCCTTCTAGCTTCTGCATGTTTGTTGGTGATTTCTTGATTTCTTTGAAAAGCTAGAAACAAACCGTTGTTGCTTGTTCCACTGCCAAAGTTGAGTACCATGCTATGGCCCACGCCATTGCTAAGATTGTTTGGCTTCGATGTCTCTTGTCTGATTTGCATATCCCTCAATCTTCCCCAACCTCTCTATTGTGACAACCATAATGCTATTCAAATTGCCCATAACACTATCTTCCATTAGTGGACGAAGCACATTGAGATTGATTATTACTTTATCCATTAGCATCTACAGTCTGGCTTTTTCTCTCTTCCTTTCGTCTATTTGGCTCTGCAACTTGCTGACTTCTTTACCAAGACTCACACCACTTCTCGGTTTCAGTTTCTTCTTGGCAAACTGTCAATGTTTTGTGCTAAAATACCTTCAGTTTGAGTGGGTGTGTGAAATATTAGTATATATTGTTGTGTGAATATTTTAGATTGTGTGAATAGTTTGTTCTTAGGTTTATTCTTGTTTCCTATTTAGAATTAGGCCTAGAATTGCTTTATATATCAGACGTATTTAATGTTTGACAATTTGAATATACAAAAATCATTCAGAAATCGTACACTCATATCATAATGAAATATATTAAGATATAATAAAAATGCATAAAAAAGTCAAAACTAATATAAAATATTATTGCTTAATATTTTTCTTTTTAGATGGGGAATCCCACGAGGCCAAATTACAAAATGTAATAAGCCTCTAACAAAACCAGAGAACTAATAGAAGAAAGAACATTTTCTAGCCAAATTTTGAAGTAAAGTTGTTGAGAAGCTGGCCAAACAAAGAGCAATTTGGTTTCCCTCATGAAGAACATGATGATAGAGATGTGGAGACTA